TTAGTCAAATATTTCTTGATATTTTTCTACCAATCTTGATGTACTTACTTATAGTAATGTGCAATTTTACTATTTTATAAAAAAATTATTAAACCACGTCCTCCTTGACAGTTTTTTTTAAATCCAGCATTATCTTAAAGATTTAAATAATTCATCAAACTTCAATTCCTCGGAAATAAGTACTTATAATCCATATCGATACGTCTCACAAAAACACAATTTACATATTATGTATATCGGAAAAAAATTTACCGTCACCTAAAATAATTTAAACTTGGCCCAGAATTACCGTTTCAATCTTTTTGACTATTTAACTTCATAAAACTGTGTAAAGAGAAAAATATTATGACGAAAGATTATAAATTGCATATCAGTGATAGTAACATATCAATTTTTAATAAATCAATTACAATTTTTACATAGCATCTAATTTATTTCATCCGTTTAAACGCCATACAACGTATTAACGTTCGTCACAAAAAATGGAATAGAAAATTGCACATCACTAAATTTATCTCTCCAACTTTTAAACATAAATTTCCTCTATTTTTTAAATTAAAAAAATAAAATTTACAACAATTATAATAGAGATATTATATTATCTCCCTATTAGAATCAGAATAAGACTCGTATCGTATAAATGCAGCATTGTTGGTTCAAATGCTACGCTACGTTATTATAGTGATCAGCAAAATTTACTATATTTGTATTATTCTTTGAAATATAATGTGCATTTAATAAAAAAAAAATTAGATCACCACCGATGTTTTATTTTATAGTTGTAGCTATAGTAATGTGTACCGAATAGTGCCTTTGTTCATTTCAACCTCACTTTTGCAATACTTTTGGATCAAGATGAAATGATGGATTCTCTACTCTACTGCCACATGAAATATTTCATCATAATTATAGTCGTATTATACAAACAGAAATATTAACCTGCAGATTTAAAAAAAATTATGTAGTCGTAGTAGTAGTTATAGTAATAGTAAATTTTTATAAGCGCTTAACCCTCATAAAATTAGAGAACTGTGCCCTGTAGTGGCATTATTGACGAACCAACCCATGGTGGAAAGTGGTAGGTGCCTTAAATAACTGAAAACAAAATTAAAGTTTACTTAAACGAATTACATTTTTAGAGAAATTAAGTACCTACACTATCGAGTTTAGCAATATTAGCGCAAACTACTCTAAGGAAACTTAAAACAAAAACGTTAAAATAAAGAAATATCAGACACTATAACCCATCACGAGAGTCCATCATAAGAATCCACATAAATAGCAACAAAGTACAATACGATTCGATGGCTGACCGCTCGAAGTAAGACTTACCTAATTGCACATTTTGTCTTAGGTATACACGTACTCGTTAACAACTTCTAGCGTAGAGTTCCCAACTACTGGCGTGTAGCATGAACTTTACACGTGATTTAGTCTTGTTCGTGTTCATATTCAGACCTACACGTCGGGAAACACTATTGAGGTCGTTGAGCATAGATCTAAAGTCCTCCGGGGATTGTGTCATAATGGCTAATTCATCGGAAAATCGAAGGTGAGTGATGTAATCACCATTGTTGTAATACCATACCCTTTAGAGACCAGAAGCTAGAAAATGTCTTCTCACGCAGCGGTGAAATTTCGGGCATATAACATCACCCTGTGTTATATTGTTCTGGATAGGTAGGTACCTATCTAAATTTTGACAAAATCAATGGCCTTCTTATAATCCACATACGCAACGCATTACGGCAGATTATACTCTTCGGGAGGATGTAAGCTTTAGAGTCTACGTACGTGATGATGAGAAAAGAAAAAACTACAGACCATGGTGGTTCTTTAATATCCTTTATCACCTTTATGAAGAAGAAAAAAATATACTTAAATGCTTATGCTTCAAGTTTCCGGCGTAGCGCCTCCGTAAAATGTTCCCAAGTTAATATTTTAAAGGCTACCTTATTTGTGCTTTCTAGTGTTTTCGAGCAAGGAATTGCAACAGAGTGCAGCCTAAACAGTATAATATTTGCTTATTGAGCCAGTAAAGTGTGATGGAATTGTAATCTTCAGATTAGTTGAGGAACGATGAGAGGTGAAAACTTAACGCGGTCACGAAAGGCAGGGGTTGTCTCCATTACACTTTCCTTCGTCTCCGTTGTGCACAGCAGCACTTGCGAGACTCAAATAACATCTCCATTTTTAATCACGCCATACAAATATGAGAAAACTCTCATATCCGTTTGAATCGAATGTACTGAAGCTAAGGGGAGTTTTTACCCGTTCTCTCGTTGGGTCGACCCGTCGACACTAGTAGGCAGGGCCTGGTTTACCCACAGGCTAATTAGGCTGGAGGCCAGGTTGGAAAGCGTGCTGAGTTGTCTTTGCAAGCACACTTACGTACAGGATAAAGTTTGATATACAATTCTCAATAAATAATAGAGTAAGTACCGCAAGTATTTTACTTGTTGTTTTTTCTTTATTTTTGGTACAAATAAATGGATTATATAAATAAGACTGGAATTATTTAGTACCTATCATCTTTCGTTCACTGACAAAGATTTTAAACTGCTCAAGCTCTCTTCTCTGCCTCTAATTTTATTAACGTGTTTTGTCGTAGCTGTTCAAGGGAACTTGAAATTGTCTTTTATGCTTCATCGGGGAAGCCTATGTTCAGAAGTGGACTTTAATAAACTGTAACGGTAACCAGCGTAAAATAGTAGCGTAATGCTGATGTGTTTCGTATGGTGAGTGTAGAGAACCAGAGACCCTTTTTACTGAAATCGAGGCATTCCATCATAGTCCTTAGTGAGGCAACACATTTACATTTTGATTCTTAATTGAGTATATATACGTGGATGTCTATAGGCCAAAGCATCCACTTACCATTAAGTGGACTGTGTGCTCATTTGATACCCAAAGCAAAAAAAACTCTAACACCTTATTTTTGATTTATTATTATTAAAAACCGCTCATTATTATTTTTAAACTTTTTTTAAACATTAATGAACGGTTTAAATTAAAAACAGTTTAAATAGGTACTTAAATTTCACATATCAAGCCCCGGAACAATTATGTGTAGGCCATACAATTACTTATTCCGAACCCACGGCGCTCTGCGCCGCACCGCAACTCAACGAAAGTTACGGCTCTGTGGCGTTAAATGTTAACGCCACGGAGCCGTAACTTTCCTGGAAAAGAGGCAATCCATCTTAGTCAATTGTTGTTATTTCGTTACTTCTTCTTCTACTTACAACTTCAATTGCACATATCAAGCCCCGGAACAATCATGTGTAGGCCATACAAATACTTATTCCGAACCGACGGCGCTCTGCGCCGCACCGCAACTCAACGAAAGTTACGGCTTGTTAACATTTAACGCCACGGAGCCGTAACTTTCCTGGAAAAGAGGCATTCCATCTTATTCCTTAGAGTCCTTTGAGTCTTATAGAGGATAAATGTAGATCTTTATGTGTCACAGTATCCACTTACCATCTGGTAGAGTGGGTGTACCCTTATCTATAAAAAATCTGTTGAACCTACAGGCCTTCCCTGGAACTTCCCGCCATGTTCGATCTCAAAACGCTCCACAAATATTTCTACGAAGTAATAGTTAACACATAACATAAAAAAACGATCCGAGCAGAAATTTCGAAGTAATTAAAAAAAAACACATTTTTACAATTTTTTTGACAACGATAACTTTCGAATGGATCAACCAATTTTGGTGTAATTTGTGGCAATCGACTAAGATTTTCAAGAACAGTAATAAAATGTAAGTATTGTAAAAAAAAACGATTACACTATTAAGTTATGTGGAAATAAACACTGAATTTTTTCTTAATCGATTTCTCTTCAACGCATGAACTGATTTTGAAGCGATTCGCAGCAATCGACGTCGTTTTCCATGTTTAAACATTTGATTAGAGCTGATTAGATTTTGGAATTGATCTCTACATATGTTTAAAAGTTATTCCAACAAACGTTTTTAGAAAATTTTATTTTTGAGATTTTCAAAATCTACCTGTCCAAATTGGTTGAAACAGTATTGAAAATCTAAGTTTGGTGAAACCCTTTCGAATGCCACCATGTTCGTCCAAATCGGTATTGCCGTTCAAAAGTTATGGTTTTACACGCGCGCACATTCATAGTACAGACATAGTGACGCCCTCATAGGAATTGTCAGAATAGCTTCGGAGTGTCTCAAAACGTCGAGATCGGATACCCTCGATTTTCGAAAACTGGGGTGAAACCAATAATAAGAAATATTTTTTCTTAAACCGCCACCACACGGCTAAACCATATTTCAAAATAAATCCCAATTGCAAGAATATATACGACAAACTACGTAAAATAATGTCCTCCAAACAGAATTTTGGTCACAGCGGCCCGTCTCGTCGAATATCTACGCAGGACGCGTATTTCCATTTTCGGAGGATTCCATTACGAAGCAGTACTGCCTTGAAACACACACGGGTTCGTTACGCCAAGTCCCTTTCCAAACTCGTGTTCAATTCAAGCCACGTGTGAATCGCGCACGGGTTTGCAACGCAAACTGTTCTTCCAAGCACGTTTTCAAGGCAATGCTTAAAAGATAACCATGAAGTTCGCCCGCTTATTTCATAATGCTCGTATTTCGTCACTTTGTCAGCAGTATTGTTACCAATTGTAATAATATAGTTGTGCAGTATATTTTTATGTGTGACAACAAGCGAAGCAAGCGTGCCGCGAAAGGGGCCGGCAAAGCGCCGAAAGAACAATTTTAAGGCATTCCTAGTCCTAGTGTCCTATCTATACAGTAATCTATGGTCCTATCATTAGGTTAGGTTAGGCTAGAACTCTAAGAAATAGTCACTAAATACGAGTAAATTAAGTTTTAGTAGAGAAATTCTTACTACACCATCAAGTGAGCTTTTGTGTCATTTTTCCTTTAAAATCAAAAGTTTCTTAAAATATTTTGATTCAATGAATACCCAAGAAAAATTAAAAACATTTATTTCTTATAATAACTAATACAAACTAGACAAGGGTGGAAATGCATTTTGCTTACTAACAACCACTTTCTTATGTTGATAGGAAATATACCCTTTTATTTTTCCATCAAAAATAAGGTTAGCGACAATACATTGGGTTTCATCTGAATCTACATCCTCTTGTCCCATTATTTGCAATGCTGCTTCAAAGCTTGCAATATCAATTTGGTGGGTATTTTCCAATAAATACACTTTACGAAATAAATTTCTGTATGCTGTTATCTTCAACTTTTCCACAATCAAGTATATGCCTGCTCGAATGAAGAAACTTTCATGTTCTTCCATCACCTGATCAATACCTCTCAAATTTCCATCTTTAACGGCAGACACCAAATCCCAGAATTGCATCAAGTCATATTTCTGAAGTAAAAATTTTGATGGCATAAAACCTAGCAGCATTTTCACTGGGATAAGGTAAGTTAAAATTAGTCTTTTGTTCTTGTTGCTCTTTCTGTGACAATTCTCAAATGCATATGACAAATACTCATCTGCCGATTTGTAATCAGAATCAAACATGGCTTTACGTCCAACAAAATACCGGTATGTAATCTGTTGAGCCAGTGGAAACTGGTCTTTGAATGGTGACGAGTCAATTGCCCTTATAAGAGGTTTGCATAAATGCAATTTATTTATACGAAAATAGACTTTAAGAAGTTGGTTTACAAGGTTCAACATCCCCAATTTCTTAGTTTCAGTATCAGATGATCTATTATCTGCGGCGCATACCCTGAAGCATGCTAGAAGACTCTCTGCTGCTTTCTCTAATATTTTGCCATTGCTTTGTGCTGTAACAAATAAGCATACATAGATATTATATAAGGTCGTAGAACATTGATAGATATAAGATGTAAAAAAATTGTATTTGTATAAAATTAAAGTAAGATTTTACTATGTTTATAGGAACCACAGACAATATTATTTAAGAAACAAAAACCTAAACATATGTGCTGACCTAGAAGTGTGAATAATATCAATATTTAAATATTGTTATCACATCAAAATTGAGGTTTTGTAAGTTATGCCTTTTGACACTTGGCTCATATCCAGTCATTGTCCATTTTTCTCAACTGATTTGGCATATACTATAGTTATCAATTTTCTGTTATAAAAAATCTCCAAAATTTTACTATAAAATTAGCCTAAATCAATGCCATGCCATGCCATTGAATCAAATTACTCTCTAATGCTAATGTAAACTTAATATATATTATAAACTTTCTAATGTTAATTGTTTAACATACGGTGTCATATAAAAAATACAGCAATAATTTTATTTCCTTATTAAAATTGCTTTCAAAGTTAGAATTAGTTAATTTATAAAAGAAGTAACACTAATATACTTAAGTACAAACATTTCATTTCACAAGGACAAACATTCAGATCTGAAATAACTACTAGTACAAGTTAGTAGTATACAAACACTTGCAGTATTTGAACCCACAGCTATCCGGGTCTCAATGCAATATGTACCCACTGTGACACAGAGCATTTTCCTTAAAACAGCCAAAGTTTGTTTTTCCATTCCCCGTCAATATATTACAACTAAATGTTTCATCACCAGTAATGATTTTATTTAAGTGTTATTTTCTTGTTTATTAATTTGAAATTTTGATTATAAGAATTTAGATTATGTATTATAACCATTTTATCCATTGAGTCAAATTACTTACGATCACATCCTTCAGCTTTTTGTGCAACAAGCCTTAAATCTAAACATACAGTGTACATAAGAGGCAGTGCCCAATTTTCCTCTTTTTGTCCTTGTAAAAGTCTGACAACGGCAGCTACAAATGCACTTTGATTATCATATGCTCCCATAAAGTCCCTAGCATATAACGCCTGTAAATAAGCAGACATTTGTTGGTTAACTAACAGCAAAATCATAATTTACGGTGGGAAACTTGCACTTTTATTAAGATCCTACAGATTGATTTAGTCATTATTGTTTGCAGATATGTGAAAATATAATAAGTGAAAATTGTTGGAATTTGACCTTCACACACAGCAAGTGGTAAATAATCATCTCGTCAAGAGGAGCTATGCAATTCCCTTCCACCAGAGTTGCTATATCACTAGATCGCAAATTTCTGTTTCCCACGTGTTCATCTCGCAGCGATAACAAACGTGCCAGTATATTCCCTTGAGAAGTCCTATAAACTCTCTCGACAAACTGGATGTATTGGTTGAGTGTACCGGTGGACATTTTTAAATGTCTGTTACACACAACTCACTAAGCTTTCATTAGGATGACTAGGTAAAGATATAACAACGAAAGTGTTATGAAATTAATTATTGTAAGAATAGTCATTCAGTCCTTTACTCCTTTTATAATATAAATATTGACTTTTCCCAGTTTTGCTATTTTTGATCATAGATAAATAAATATGTAGCAAGCTATTTTTGATGTATTTTGCGGAGTGTTGCCAACTGCTAGCTTTACCCAGTAGCTAGACATTTTCAAAATGTTGCTAGATTTCCAGTTTTTTTTACCCTAAAAATTTGCTAGAAGTTGCTAAATGTTACAGTATATAAATAGGTTACAATAAAATGCGAGTTTCTGATAATCGTTTTTATTCAGTAATTCCAACGAGTAGTTAAATCAATTAAAGAAGATGTCGATGGCTGGGGTTCAGTATCTTTCATTGATTTCGAATATTTTTCAACGGTGCCCATTTTATGCAGTACGTCTTTAGGCAAAACACAGTTATAGCAGCATTTACCAATTTTCCTGATCTCTAATGCAGAGGATTGGGTTCAGAGTTTTCAAACTCACTCTGTTTCTTTGCTTATTTTTAACTAAATTTATTTGAGAGAATAACCTTTCTACCTCTGCATTAGAATGTGGCAGTGAAAGGCAAGTTAAAGCAAGAGTACTTATATCCTGATATATGTTGTCACCGGAAGAATTTCTAAATTTTTTTACTTCGACCCAAAACTGAACTATTTCTTCAGAATGCCACTTATTATATATGTAGAATTTCCACTGTTTCATTATCTTGTCTATTATTTCTGGTGTAAATCCTAAAATTTTTTTGATTGGTTTTATTGCCTCCTCTGGACTTAGCAACGCCATTGATTCTAGCTACTTGTAGGTGTCTGGAAGCCTTTGTTGCAATTCCTTAAGTAATTGTAGTAAGAAGGTGGAGCAGCGTTGTCGTATTGCATTTAAAATTTCGGAGTCTAAAGTATGTTGAGCAGTTTCAAACATGTAGCCAAGATAAGACCTAGGGTTAATATCCCTATCAGTTTTTCTAATTAAAATACATCTAAAATTCTCTGGCTCACTGATTCTATCAGTGTTGTGTCACAATTTTTGTTATCGCTGGCCCTATTGAAAGCCAACGTATATCGCACACCTTGGTGATTTTCAACGGACTTTCGCCACAGTTTATAAGTTTATATATTTTTGTGTATTCGTCTCACCACTTAGGAGACACAGAAAACAATTTACAAATTTCTCTAACCAAAAACTCTAAATTTCTTGGCAGAGTATTTTCGGAGACATGGGTCACTGCTAACTGCAACGAGTGGCAGACACATCGTATCAGTATCAAATTTTCTATACCATATTCTCTTTTGAGGATTGCATGAACCCCGTTATTAATGCCTGTCATAACAGGTGCATTATTAGTTCCAATTCCAATCATTTGTTTGATATCTAAGTTGTGACTCTCTAAGCATGATACCAAGCCATTAACTATTCCCCTAGCATCTGCACTCTCAATAGAAACTAGTTCCAGGAATGAGCTTACTATCCTTTCCTGTGCGGCACTATAATACCTAATTACAAGACCAAGGTGTTTACTGACACTGACGTCTGTGGACTCATCCATTATAATGCTGAACTTTTGGTATCCAATATCATCTAAGAGCTCCTGCAAGTGCGGCATCAGCACATTTGTCTTTATTTCTGTACATTTATTGCGATGCAATTTAAGCTCCTGTGTAGCTTTGGAGTCTTTGAAACACATTTTGCATAGTTCACCTAAATGGTCAACACTTAATATAGAACAGTGCTCGGCAATAAATAAGGTCAATGCGGCTTCAGATTCATCGCAAGAGAGATGCATCGCAAGATGGTCTTTTGGTACAACTTTGAAAGGAATTTTATTGCCTGTAAAGACAAAATTAATATACATAAGGACCCTAGGCGCAAAATATTATTTGACCCTAGAAAATTAGTAAAATGAAAATATCAAACTCATTTTTCCCATCGATAGAGTCTATCAACAAAACGAATTTTAAATTCATTCACGTACCTGTTTTGAACTTTACTTCCTGTTTATGCTTTTTGGTCTCAGCATGCTTCTTTACATCAAACAGTTTAGCAAGAATCTCCGTAGAACAATATGTACAAAATGCTTTGCTGGAGTCTCCACTTGCCGATTTTAGCCAACCTTTAAATTCGTCCATATTTTCCCACTCCGGTCTGTATTCTTGTGCGTAGGTTTTTTTTTTCAAAAGTAAATCCATTTTTAAATTAAATTAAATTAGTTTTATATAGATAAAACAAAACAACACAAGGTAGAATACGAATAGCGCGTATTATTTTAGTTTACTAAGTATTCTGTCGCAGAGGAAACGGGGAATTCCCGGCCAGCGTCGACCTGTACTTATCATAGCATCTATGACCATAGATTTTTTTTCTTTCTACTCGGCACACTACTCGACGAATTTCGATAGACTCACGTCTCAAGATGAAATGAAAAGTTGATAGAAAAATTAGGTAAAAAGTTTAGCTACAAGTTTTATTAAATTGTAGCTATCTGTCACCAAATAAAATCTAGATCTAGCTATAAAATAGGTCCATGAAGTTGGCACGCGGAAATTATTATTAAATATGGGACTAGTATAAATCGATTGCGCGTAAAAAATGATGTTTATCGGTACTAATTATTTGTTTGCGCGTCAAATATTTGTTTAGATATTTAAAAAAGTAAGATGGGTGCTGTGAAATAATAAATTTTTATTTTTTGCTTTAAAATGATGGTAAAAGAATAATTAAACAACGTAAATTTGTAGATTTTCACATGCGCAATCAGCACTCGATATTAGTTTATCCATAAGTTATTTATTTACATCGTAAATAAATCATTAAATAATCCCATAACCTCAGCCGCAGCGTCCGAGCTCGAGAGTGCAATATCCCTAGAACGCTGGCGCTTAAAGCGCTTTTTTCTTTATATAATAGCTTCCTAAAGAGCTTAGCCAAAAACCTATATTATATATGACTAACTACCTTTACTTATAACAAAATTATAGTTTTTAGTTTCCATAAAAAGTTATAGTTATAGATTGAAACCTCTTTTACTATACTTTTAAATAAAAAACAAAAGAAAAAATATGGTGGCAAAATTGTTAGTAATTCGTTAGGAACTTCAAGGAAAATTTATATTTTTTAATATATTTTTTAAACAACGTTACCTCCAAACTTGGATTTTCTGCTGTATCGTGGGGGCAGTTTACAAACATAAATTTCACATGGAAAATCCTCCAGACCCGGAACAATTACTTGTAGGCCATACAAATACTTGTTTCGTGCGAGATTCGAACCCGCGGCCTTTAGCGCTGTAACACATCGATAAGCCACTGCACACTACGAAGCTGTTAAAATATTGTTATACTGATATTAATGAATGAGTCGAGATAAAATGTTACGAGCCACGGGCATGTTACAAAATGTTGCTATTCAACGCCTCATTGCCTGAGGCCCTGCACACCAGCCAAAACGTGATAACAAGGTTGTGATCACGTTATCGAAGTACTGGAGATGTGGCTGAACGGCACACGGATATCGTGTTACTGGGTGTTTTTCAAAAAAATTGTCGGTGACGTAGTTAGAATTCCACTTGTATGAGTTTTAACATTTAGCTTCAAAATGTAATTAAATTGATAAAATATAGTATGAGCAGTATGAAAATAGTATTTTTTTAAGAAAATAATAATGAATTTCGAAAATAATTACAATTTTAATTAAATTATGTTCTCAAGAAATTCCATTACGTTACTAATTTTAAAATAGTTTTCATGAAAACTAAAAGAAGTTCAGTATTTTTAACTTTATTTATGAAAAATAAACACAATCTGTTTTCTAAAAAATATTGATAATTCAGCATATTAGATCTAATCAAAAAATGTTTTAACAAAGATATTCCTTACGCTACTTTTGGGTACTTTGTACTATATTTTTTTCATCCTAGAACGTCAAATATGAGAAATATTCTTTCAAAAGTTTAATTATAACAAATTAAAAATTTATAGTAAACTATATGGAACAAAAACAGTCAAATTTCTTTTAGATCTATTAATTAGTCTTAGAAAATAAATCACAGTAATAATAGGACAGTGACGTTAATGTAATTCGAAAATGACGTTTAGGAACTATAAGGCAACGTCTATATGACTCTCAATTATGACAACAATCATGGTAACTTGTACTTATCGTATTAAACATAATATTACTAGTATGTCATTTAAGAGCGTTTAAAACGTACGGCATTTCATACAAACTTTCAAGTCCTTGTTTTCGAAATGCATGAACCGATTTTAATGAAACTTCACACGCATAAGCAGGACACATAGTCCTAAAAAGTTAGTAAAGAACATTTTCGAAATGTCTTATTTAAAACAAGATAATTGGAAATATCTGTTTCAATGGAAAATTTAAAATCGGCTGAATTTAGCTGTAACATTATTTTTCGAAAATGTTCTCATTAACTTTTTGGACCTATATATCCTGCTTATGCATAGGAAGTTTCATTAAAATCGGTTCATTTATTTCGAAATATAAAGACTTGAAAATTTGTATGAAATGCCGTACGTTGTAAACGGTCTTAAACTGTAACAAAAAACTATTCATCAGTCCCAAGACAAATCGGATAAATGTAGTCAAAAAAGGTTGTTCCGCTACATATCAGGCAAACCCAATTTTTACATGCATTACATTTTACCATTCTTTGTATAACAAAAGGCTCATGGCAATTGTTATCTGAAGCAGATACGAATGATTGGGATAGATTTTTCCAAAAAATTACATCACTATGTATAGTGATCGTGTTTTTGGAGGCACCAAAGTGCATTGATTGGACTTCTTCACTATATTTACATTCAAAATTCTCCGAAAAGTCACATAAAATGAGTATCTCGTCATCTTACATGTTCTTGATACAATTTCGTATTGACGTTGTTGTTCAATCCAAAAGAAATGAGTTTTAAACGCCGGTAGCTCGTTTTTGTTCTCTCCAGAGTTTTCTTTTTTCCATTTTCTCGTCCTCAGTGAGCTTTTTAATCTTCTTTTGGTTTTTTTTTGTCTTCGTAATTCCTTCTTCTTAAATTCTTCATATTTTTCCGGGTTTTGTTTGATTTTTTTCTCGGTACCGTTTTGACTTTTCTGCAGCCATAAAGGGCATATTTAAACCCAAAATCAATAGTGAGTTATCATAATGTACCCCGTACGAAAAATCTCAAATTTTTGTGAAAAAATTTATATAGATTTACAAAAAGCGTTGCGTGAAATAATTGTCAAAATAAATGTGATAACTGTTTATCACATATATTTTCACGCAAAAACAAAAAAATTTCATTCAGGATACCATTAAAATTAAACACTAAATGCAGCCATTTCAACAATATAACGTAATAACTATCGTTATTTCATTGTTATTTTTCTAATGTTATCCTGAAAGGAGTGTTTTGAGCCGAAATATCTAGTCGAAAAATCTTGTTTGATTTACACACGAAATTAAGTAATAAGCAATTCATTTAAAAAATTCAAGGCATTTCATTATTATTTTATTCGTACTTAATTTATTTAGACTTTAGAACACTAATTAAAACAATGACTTTATGAACCGACCTTTAAGATTCCATTACGTCACTTTTGAGTTCCATTCATGCGATAGTAGCGTTAATGGAGGTAACGTAACCATGCCAACAAAATTTTCAAATGAATTTACTAATTAGTTATCAAACTTTTGTTCAATATAACTTAACATTTCAAATAACAATAAATTAACATGTTTAATAGAAAATAGAATGAAATACACATGAATACGTTACCTGGAGAAAAGCAGTATCGTTTGTGGAATTATTTTTTTCACATGAGTCGAGACGACCACTTCGATTACGTTTTGTTGGCAAACTGGCTGTCAAAAATTAAATACAGCAGCCACCATAGACTAATAATGTTGCTATATTTGGGAAAATGTATTGAATTGGTGGTATTTTTTGTTGGAAGTCGTTGAAAATGCGGTCACGTACGCGGAAATTCCATCATACGCTATTTTGCAGGACAACCCAAAATCTGGTATTTTAAAATAATTTTCAACCGTAACATGTACATTTCAGGTTTAAAATTGAAGTTACGGTCATAAATGACCAGTCAAATGCAAAACGTTTGAATAATAATATAACACGACCGTATTATGTGACTCTGAAGTTGACACAGTAGATGTGGGACATACCAAAAACATCGACCTCATTTTACTTATTTTGATTTTATTTTTGATTTATAACAGATTCAGACCTTATTTTTATTTGATTTATGAGACTATATGTTACTTTATTATTAAAATAAATGATATGTAATAAAAACTTTTCTAAAATTTGATAATTTATTCTGAAAGTGGCCGGACACTGACTTTTTTCAAGGTACAACTTTTTTGGAAAACGCCCTACTACGCAGAGACATGATCAATTTTTTCCAAATGACCGCCAGAAGATGGAATGGAAAAAAAATGAAAGAAATGGATTTCACATGAATGACCACCAGTATTCGTATTTGTATTATAAAAGAAATAAAAGAGGTTTCAATCTATAACTTTAACTTTTTATGGAAACTAAAAAGATTTTAAACTATAAAGTCATAAATAATATATGTTTTTGGCAAAGCTCTTTAGGAAGCTATTGCTGGCAACTAAAGAAAAAAGCGCTTTAAGTGCTAGCGTACTAGGGACATTGAACTCTCGAAATCGGACGCTGCGGCTGAGGTTATGGGATTATTTAATTATTTATTTACTATGTAAATAAATAACTTATGGATAAACTGATATCGGGAGCTGATTGCGCATGTGAAAATTAACAAATTTACATTGTTTAATTATTCTTTTACCATCATTTTTAAGCAAAAAATAAAAATGTATTATTTCACAGCACCCATCTTACTTTTTTAAATATCTAAACAAATATTTGACGCGCAAACAAATAATTAGTACCGATAAACATCATTTTTTACGCGCAACCGATTTATACTAGTCGCATATTTTATAATTATTTCCGGGTGCTAACTTCATGGAAAGTTGCTAAGTTGGCATCACTGATTTTGTGACAGGTCTAGTTGTAGACAGAGAAAGTTGGTTCTTTTTTATTAAGATTTCTGATTTAGATGCTTGTCTTTTGAGCCATGTGTTCATTTCATTCACATTCACACACACATACACACACACACACACACACACACACATATATATATATAT